TCCATCATTCGTACCAGGAATTTCTGTCTATTCAAATATTTCCAGTTTCAAAAACAGCAATGGAAGTTGTTTTTCCATTTCATTCTCTTGACTAAAAGGTACGTCAAGCGGACAAACTATTATATAGAGCTGTAAAACTAGAAAAAAGGACAAAAAAAAAAAAAAAAGGGTTCCTGGCCTAGTAAGGGGTGGTCCAATAAAGATCCTTAGGATTTAAATTAACCAAACGAGCTTGTTAATTTGTTTTGTGTGACTTGCAGCAGAAATTTCAATTCTTCAATTCGAATGCAATAAACTATTAAACCCAAACATTAATTAGGTTGTCACCCGAGATGGGATAATCCGGCTGGCGCTGAAGTTTGAATTGGATGCATTTCCATTGCTTCGCCAACTAAGACAATGCTAGCTAATCCAAACAGAATCAAATTTTTGCCATGTTATTGCCTCAGTATCCGTAATGTTTTTGCCGCAGCAACATTTCCATACGAGGATTAGATCTCTGTCACTGTTCAACACTTCTTATTGACTCATGAAGGATATTATAGGGTTTATTTGGATAGTTTATTATTTGCACAAATTTATTTGCTTGTATGATAAATATATTTTTCAAACATTTTTTATCTCACATGCTTTATACTTAAAAAGTATTACAGTATTTTTTTTTTGTAAAAAATTATCCCAAATAATCTCTTATACCAAACACACTTATAATTATTTTAATTAAAATTTACTGTGGCAATAAAATTGTGGCCGTCTTCTTAATCTTGAAATGTGCCGAAGTTCCCTGTTTGACGCGCTGCCAAAGGCATAAACCACATGGGCACTGGCAGACGATTCGTTAGCAATTTATTTGACACAAAACATAGGGATAATTTTACAAACCTCCCTTAAGGTTTCTAACAATTTCACTGAGCTCCTCTGAGATTTAACAAATTACACTTACCTCCCTTGATTTGATAGTTTTAATAACAAAATCTTAAAATAATATTGACTTAGTCAAAATTTTAAATGAACACCAAAAAATGCCCTTGTGTAATGAATTTTAATATATTTTTCTATATAATTATAAAATTATCTAGTATAATCATAAGAAAAATGTACCAAAATTTTCATGTCCACACCTACTATTTGATAAACAACTATAATAATATTTTCATTACTATGATAGGATACTTTTGATGATATTTTATTATGGATTTAGATTTATAAGACATAAAAGAAAATATTAAAATAATTCATTTATAGTTTTTGAATTTTTGAGAAGTGAAATTATCATAATTTAGTAGTGGTTTTGGGCCGTTTATTTTTTATTTATTATTAATTTTAATACCAACAAATAGAAAACAAAGATCAATAAAAATATTAAATTACATATAAAATTAACTCATGGCACAAATCACTAGTTCGATATTTGGTTACAATAGAAACCAGAGATAATAGTGATAATTCTACAATTTTATTGGCAAAAAATTAGAAAAAAAAAGGAATAACAAGAAAAAAAAATGAAAAAAATAATTTTAAAACTCAATATAAGTATAAGCACACCAAATAAGGAAATTTCATTAAAATAATTAAGGGTAAAATTATCATTTTAAATGATAAGGGAGGCATGTGTAATTTTTTAAATTTTAAGGGAGTTCAGTGAAATTGTCAGAAACCTCAGGGAAGGTTTCTGAAATTATCTCCAAAACATATGGTTCCATGTTTCCTTTTCGAATCAATGAATGTTGTCATCCGATGGAAAAATTGGCCAAGTTTCACATCTTGAGCCATAGAGTAAATTCTCAAACAGTGATACTTTTTAAGAAGAATTTCGAAACAATGCATTCACTGAAAGCATTTTTTAAGCAGCACATTTAGTGAATGCATTTTTTTGGACAAATAATAGAAGAACTGCATTCACAGAGTATGTCTTTTGGGAAACAACATATCTATCAAGTGCATTTTTCACCTTCTGGGAAGAAGTTTAAAAAACACCACCGTTTAAGAAGTGATTTTAGAAAATTCCACTTTTTGGGAATTTATATCGAACCTATAGGCCTAAAAATGCAACCATAGTTTCAATAGCTAAGTCCAACTATTTGAACTTCACCCTTACTAACTCAAAATAAATATTTCAAGTTGGACTTGAATGCTCAACTACTAAGTTTTGTTCTACAAACTCCTCCTTTTAGACTTTGTTCTAGAGGTACTTTTTCGATACAGGAAGTGGTCTACTCAGTTTAGTCGGATTCTAGAGGTACATTTTCGATATAGAATGGGATATCACATTTATCCTTTATTTTTGTTAGATTCATGCGTAAAGGGTTATGTTTCACATTGGTTCGAGAAATAGAGAAAGATCGGTTAATATGTAAATAAGGGTCTGAAACCTAATAGTTTAAGTTTTCGGATCAGAGTTGAATTTTTGACTTACATATTGGTCTCTTTGGTGGACTCTCTCAAGATGTTTTCCCCTATCAAATTGATATCAGAGTTTCAAATCACGATATTGGGCTACTCATGAATAAGTTGATTTTTCTAGGAGTTGGATTGGTGAAAATTCTCTTCTTGATGATGGACCAAAGTGCCAAAGTGCTAAGGAGTTTGATTAGTGTTGGATTAGGTGTGTCATGGATTTGGTAGGGAGTTCGGTTGATGTTAGGAACCAAAGGTTGGCAAGGGTCTAGAATGCAGTTTGGATGTTAAAAGAAGAGTGGGTCCATGTTTAGGAGAAGAGATGACTTTACGTGATAAGGTAGATTTGCGTTGAGTATTAAAATGGGTCCGTTGAAGGACTTGTAAATTTGGGTCTAATATGAGGAGTTACTCACGAAGAGAAAGATTTGTTAGATTTATAAGTAAAGGATTGTATCCCACATTGATCCGAAAGATAGAGAAAGAGCGGTTAATATATGAGTAAAGATCCGATACCTAATAACTTAAGTTTTTGAGTCAGAGTTGGATTCCTAATTTACATATTAGGTTCTTTGGTGAATTCTCTTGAGGTATTTCCCCCCATCACCTTTAGGCAATTTTTTAACCCGAACCCAAAAACCTTCCGGTTCACGGTTCGACCAGTTCAACTGGTTCAACCCCGGTTCAAAGATTTAATATTTTTTAAATTCATTTTAGTATATAAAAATGTTGAATAAAACTAAAATATTTATTTTAGTTTTAAATACTTAATAAAAACCGGTTGAACCTCCTGGTTTTTATCGATTTTTACCGATTCAACTGGTTCTTGACCGGTTCAATTAATTCTTTGGCTTTGTAATTGAACCGGACCGGATGCATGGTCGGTTCGCTATTCAACCAGTCGAATCGGCCGGTCGGATCCGATTTTCAAAACATTGTCTTTAGGTTTTGTTTTCTAAATGTGGTTTCTGCAATTAGGTCGATATATTCTAGAGGTACTTTTTCGATTTGGGATGAGGTATAACATTTACCTCTTCTTTTAAGCTTTATTTTTCTAGAGATGACTTCCGTCCTCAGATCGACGTGTCACATCGAGCAGATCCCTTATATAGTCGCACCATAATATCACGTCAACCAATCCTTGTGCAGAAACTGTATGAGATTCGTTCACGCTAGAGTATCACACAAATGATAAACCAAACTTTTGTATAATATCATCATTTGTCTAGATGTGATGAATGTGAAGTAAACGAATAATTGAAAAATTGGCGAAAGAAACATATAAAAATAATTTTAAAAAAAACTCAAACAAGATTTTCTTCCAAAACTAGCAACCCAAACAGGATTAGATTTCAACTGCCCGTGTGGTAGAGGGCTATGGGACTTAAGAATGTGTTTTCAAGCGGAATGATGGTTTGGAAGTAGGGCTGCAAACGAATCGAGCCGCTCGCGAGCGGCTCGAGTCAAGCTCAAGTCGAGCTCGAGCCAGCTCGAGTCAAACTCGAGCTCGAACTCAAGTTCAGAATATTAAGCTCGTTAGTTCGCGATTGAGTATATATATATATTTTTTATTTTTATTTTTATTTAATAATAAAATTACGTATATTATATTTTTATTTTTTTATTTTTTATTTTCATAGTGAAATTACGTATATATCCTTAATATTTTATTATTTATTAAAAAAAATATTATTTTATTTATTTTTTTAAAAATAAAATATTTTTTTTATTTTTTTCGAGCTCGAGCTCGAACTCGAGTTTGAAAATTGCCAGCTCGTCAAGTTCGAGCTTGGTAAAATTTAGTCGAGACTCGGTTCGATTAACTCAAAACTCGACTCAGCTCGGCTCGTTTGCAGCCCTATTTGGAAGACTTCTATGGGTTTCATTGCTCCATTCTATGGGCTTTAGCCGTTTAGCCGTTCCAATATTTTCAGGCGTCTCCCTTTGCGGGCTTCTCATTTCAACTGATATGAGAAATAAAAATATTCGCGAGAGTTTCACACACGTAGAGCTGTTAAGCGAAACGAGTAGCTCGAAAACTCGTTAAGGCTCGGCTCGATAAGGCTCGAGCTCGACAAATACTCGTTTAGTTATCGAGCCGAGTAAGCTCGAACTCGATTCTTTATCGAGTAGCTCGGTTGAGCTCGACAAAGAAGGGTATTTGTGTCATTTTAGCAGTCAACAGGTAGAAATTTGGACTAGGGTTGATATTGCATCGTCTCATACTCTCATTCTTCATTTCTGCCTCTCCCTCTCCGCCGCACCCCGCAAGGCCGCAACCAGTAACCCACAGGCCACAGCCGCACCCACAGCCCCGCAACGCCGCAGCTCCGCAACACCGCACCCAGTAACCCACAGCTCCGCAACACCCAACACCCAGCACCCAGCACCCAGCAACCCCGCAACACCGCACCCAGTAACCCACAGCTCCGCAACACCCAACACCCAGCACCCAGCACCCAGCAACCCCGCAACCGGCAACCAGTAACCCACAGCCGCACCCACAGCCCCGCAACGCCGCAGCTCCGCAACCTCGCAGCCCCGCAACCCCCGCAGCCCCGCAACACCGCAACCCCGCAGCCCGCAACCCCGCAACACCGTAACCCTGCACTCCACAGCAAGCCGCACTCCACAGCAACCTCTGCCTCCACTGCCGCCCACAGCCTCTGTTTTCTGCCATTAACAACCCCGTCCACGGCCAGGGCCAAAAACTAGTCCAATTTGACTGGTTTCTCTAATCCTTCGTGATTTCTGGTAAGTCTCGTCTCTTTTCGTAGGTTAATTATAAAAGAGAGGGGTTGGAAAAACGAAGCAGGGACAAAGATCCTTAACCACTAAGCTATGTCTGATTCTCAACATATGGAACTTGATTCTATGTTGTGCTGTTTTTTTTTTTTTTGGGAATGCGAATTATGGATAATATGAGTTATGTCTTGAACTTTTTGTGTACGTCTTGAAGTACTTTCATTTGTAATACTGTACTTGATTTCTCTTGGATAAGTTTTAAGTAATCATTGCTCTTCTTTTGGGGTGGGAATGGGGGCAGGTTTGGATAGGCAGGGAAAGCAGGTTAATCTGGTAAGTCTCGTCTCTTTTCGTAGGTTAATTATAAAAGAGAGGGGTTGGAAAAACGAAGCAGGGACAAAGATCCTTAACCACTAAGCTATGTCTGATTCTCAACATATGGAACTTGATTCTATGTTGTGCTGTTTTTTTTTTTTTTTGGGAATGCGAATTATGGATAATATGAGTTATGTCTTGAACTTTTTGTGTACGTCTTGAAGTACTTTCATTTGTAATACTGTACTTGATTTCTCTTGGATAAGTTTTAAGTAATCATTGCTCTTCTTTTGGAGTGGGAATGGGGGCAGGTTTGGATAGGCAGGGAAAGCAGGTTAATGTGGTCATGAATATAATCTTTTTGGAGCTCTTTAGGCCATTTTTTTTCATAAAAACAAGTGTACACTTTGAAATGTTCTTGCAGTAATTGCAAAAGCTTGTTGATTGGTAAGAAGAATGATTAGGGGATACACTAGTTCCTGTGAAAGAAAGATATATAACTGGCCATTTTGCACTCCTCAAAAAAAAATTTTGTTTGCAGGCCCCTATTTTTATGAACTTTTACTACTTCTCATGGAGTGTGAATGTGTTTTCTTGTGTGGAAAAGATTATCCTGGATGCCTTACTTAAACCAGCACCTTGCTGTTAATGTTATGAGACATTTTCTTGTGCTTCTGCTTTCGCTTTTCCCTTTTACTTTTTTTTTGTCTCTTTTATTGTTTTCTTTTTTGCCTTTCCCCTCTTTTAAGGACTCTGTATTTTAATTTTACTGATTTCTTCACTATAGCGTTTCTTCACTATATTCCTGCATATGTTCCTTATGGACTTGACTCAAGTATATTTTTCCTTTTAAATAATAGGTATGTACAGTCACCAAGGATCGTCAACAAGTCCAATTATGGAGGTTGAAAATGAAGCTGTCGAACAAGAACTTGAGGTGGAGTCTAATGCTGATGAGATGAGCGAAGAAGAGCTGGACTTAGATCACTTAGATCAGCCGAATGAAGGAACAGAAACAGGGGAAAAAGGTGCTGTTGAAGGAGCAAATCCGTTTGAAAAAAAACAACGGAAAAAGAAGTCAACAATATGGGAGGATATGACTATAGTAAAACAGCCTGATGGAACATTGAAAGTGCAGTGTAATCACTGCAAAGAACTATTTGTCAAAAATCCATCTGGAGCTACTTCTCAACACAAGCGTCATCTCAAAAATTGCCTACAAAAGAGGCTGGCTGTTGGAGAGGAAAATCAAAAGAGGCAGCAAGTGTTATCCTTTACCGAAGGCCCCTCGGATGGTATAACTTCTATAACTAATTTCTCTTATGATCATGCTAAAGTACGAGAGTTAGCAGCTCATATGGTTCTTGTACATGAGTATCCCTTCTCTATGTTGGATCATGTTGTTTTTAACAAGTTCATGAAAGCTGTATCTCCATTTTATAAAAAGATTAACCGGCAAACAGTAAAGGAAGATTGTGTGACTGCTTTCATGCTTGAAAAGAGAAGGCTGAGAAATATCTTAAAAGGTGCCAATAGGATTAGTATAACCACAGATTTGTGGAAATCTGGTCAAAAAATTCAATACATGGTTGTGACTGGGCATTTTGTTGATAGTGATTGGGTGTTGCAAAAACGGGTTCTAAATTTTTGTAATGTCCCACCTCCTCACACGGGTGTAATTATTGCTGATGCGTTAAGTAAGTGTTTTCTTGAGTGGGGGATTGAAAATAAGGTTTCTACTATCACTGTGGACAATGCTTCTTATAATGATGTATGCATTAGGAGAGTTAAAGAGGATTTCTGTCTAAGAAAAAGGTTGAGCATTGGAGGAAAAATTTTTCATGTTAGGTGTTGTGCCCATATACTTAATTTGCTTGTTCAAGATGGGCTTAATCAAATTGTTGATGTGATTGATGTTGTTCGAGAGGGGATTAAATATTTGAAAAATTCAGAGTCTCGCCTCAATGAATTTGCCAAAATAAAAAAACAGCTTCAATTGCCTTCTAGAAAGCTCATTTTGGACTGCCCAACTAGGTGGAACAGCACTTATTTGATGTTGGCTTCAGCTCTAGAGTTTAGGGATGTATTTCCCAGGTATGGGGACATTGATCCTGGGTTTCACTATGTCCCAAGTGAGTTTGAATGGATGAAAGTTGAAGAAGTATGTAAATTTTTGGGTATTTTTTATGAGATCACCAATATTATTTCTGGATCCGATTACCCAACAGCTAACCTTTTTCTTGTAGAGTTGTATAGGATTAAAGAGCTATTAAATGAAAAAGCTCTCGATTTTTCTGATCATATTAGGTTTATGGCTGAAAGTATGGCACTAAAATTTGACAAGTATTGGGGTGAAAGCAATGTTTTGATGTCTTTGGGTGCTATTCTTGATCCGAGGTACAAAATGGTCCTTGTTAATCATACTTTCCCAGTTATTTATGGAGAAGTTGCAGCCCCTAGGTACATTGATGAGATGAGATGCATTCTTTATGACCTTTATAATGAATATGTGGATGCTTACATCTCATCTCATAGTGAGGAACCACCAAGGGAAGCTGGAAAAAGAAAACATTCGGAAATTTCAAGTAAATCTACTCAAGGGGCTGCTAAAAAGCTTGGAGTTAATGTTCTAACTGGGAAAGAAAAATTTCAGATGATTGTTAGTGAAATTGACAAGGCTCCCCCTGAAAAATCAGATTTAGATGTCTATTTGGAAGAGGGCAGATATGTTTGTGATGCAAATGCAAATCTTGATGTCTTGGGTTGGTGGAAAGGGGAAAGGTGGAGGTTTCCTATATTGTCAAGATTGGCAAGTGATATACTCGCTATTCCAGTTACAACCGTGGCGTCCGAATCTACTTTCAGTGCTGGTGGTAGAATAATCGATGATAGGCGTGCTTCTATGTCCGTTGAAACGGTTCAAATGCTACTTTGTGGGAATGATTGGATCCGCAATCTTCATGGGTTAAAAAACAAGTCTCGTGTAAGTAAAATATACTCTACTAGTTATTTATTTTGGCAGCTCATTTTATCTTGCTAGGAGTTGTAACTTTCTTGTTTTCGTTTTGTAGGAACCACTCGATGTTTCCGAATCATCTACAATTGAAGAAATTGATCTTCCGGACATTTGAAGGCTGTTTTCTGGAATATGTGATGCTGTTTCTTGTGATTTGTAAAGCTGGACTTGTGAAGCTGTGCTTTTTCTTGTGATTTCTGAAGGGGTTGTACTTTTTCTTGTCAGGTGTTTGAAGTTGGACAATTTTTAAGCTATGTAGCAGTGTTTTACATGGTTATTTAGTTGTAGTTTGTGCGTTTATTTGGCTGGACAAAACCTGTTATGGTATATTGGCTCTTATGAATGTTGTCTCATATGGAATTAGACTGTAGTTTGTGTATTTGTTGACTGCAGTCCCTGGAGTTTGTGTTGTATGGATCATGGATGTTATGGTCTTATTTGTCTTGGATGAAATGTGGTTAGAGTTTGTGTATTGTTGAATGTGAATGGCATTGGTTGCCAATCCTAATATTTTTTGTTGATTTTGGATAGCCTAAATCTGGATATGCTGGAGCAGGACTTCGTAATAACTGATTGTTGAATTTTGAAATCGAGCCTCAAAATCGAGTCTCGAGCTTCGAACTCGAGTCTAAAATCGAGCCTCGAGCCTCGAAATCGAGCCTCGAGCTCGGATAGATATTTCGAGCTCGAGCTCGAGCTCGTCCGAGCCTGGCTCGTTTGTGATAAACGAGTCGAGCTCGAGCTCGAGTTCGAGTCACATTTCCTTTTTTCGAGTCGAGTTCGAGTGCATATTATGGCTCGTTAGCGCTAACGAGCGAGCTCGAGCTTGGCTCGAATTCGTCACGAGTCGAGCTCGGCGTTCAGATACTCGGCTCGATTAACAGCACTACACACACGTATGCCTGCGGAAATGATTTCTTCTGCCAATAAACTTTGACCCGAGGAGAAGTTATTAGAAACTGATCATTGCAGTAAAAGTTTAACAAGACAACACGAGGCATTGGAAATGATGATCAGAAAATCAACCACCGAAAATTTAGAGTAGTATGGCCTGCGGGCCGGCTGTTCTTCTCCTTTAACAATGAAAAATGCGCAAGGATCTTTTGTCTTACATTCTTTATTATTTTTTATTTTATTTTTTATTATATTACTATTTTTTTTACATAAATATCATGTTTTAGTTTTTTTTATTTTCTTGAAATTCAATAATTATTAATTGAATAAAAAATAAATACAACAGTTTCAAAAAAGTAATATATAATAGAAAATTAAAAAATATAGCAGAAAATTCATAAAAAATCTCATTTTTTATGCATTTTGATTTTTTGAGTTTGTTAAATTTTTTGTATTACTCAATTAATAGTTGTTGGATTTTAAGAAAATAAAATAGAACTAAAACATGATATTTATGTAGGAGAAATAGCAATATAATAAAAAGTGAGACAGAGAATAACACATGGTGTGAGACAGAAAATCTGTTGCGTGAAAAATGCCTAACAAAATAGATAATGCTGCCGTTTTCGTTTTACAAACTTCAGAAAGGGCACACCTTGTCCAAAAGCATATATAGTTTGATTGCTACGATGTGATAAACTTTTATATATATATATATATATATATATATATATATATATATTTATAAGTACATTTACCAAAATGAAAACAGAAAAAACACCTTAAAACATCCTTTCACCTCTCAAACAATTTAGAAGTGTTTATTTTTAACAACCTAGCATAGATGCTTGCTACACGCACGTCGAAATATCACCATTTCTTTTCCTCCAAAAATTTTTAACCACAAAGCTTAAGGAGAGAAAACGACTGGAAATTCATGCAAAATTATAACCCTTACAATGGAGTTTGGATGGAAAGTGGAAACACAGCCCAAAACTAACCATTTTCAATTTGAATCCGGCAAAAAAAAAAAGAACTGCAGGAATACGCGTCAGTTTATAAATCTAGGGATGATTGGAATGAATAATGGCTAAGACGATATTTGGAGTTGAGAGAATTAATGATCAATTTCCTTCCTGTTTCACGCGTGAAAAGTCAACTTCTTTAGTTGGGACTTAAAGAAGACCAAACAGGAAAAACCCAATCGATCCGTCATCAGATATTCATTAAGCTAAGATAGGAATCCTAGAATAAACATTCTCACGTTTGATGCAGATTTTCCGCTGGAGATGACCCAACATGTTTGGTGTACGGTTATGTAATCGACACGGTACGTGCCTGAGAGTCCGTAACAAGCAAATCTTTGATACAAATCAACGGCGGCTACTAACGGTTCCAATGGCTCAGACCGCAGTAATTAAATGTTCCAAGGACAATGCCACCAGCTGCTGTGAGGGTGCAGCTTTTGCATTTCTCTGGGAAACAATCCGGTAAGAAAAAATGGTAATATAAACTTTCAAACTATCGACTGCCTGCCGACAGAAAAAAAAACGAAGAGTAGGTGCTAGCTAGAAATCGGTTAGCCATATACAGATAGGAGGGATTTTCTCAATTAGTTCATAGAGTTTGGGTAAAAAAAAAAAAATTGGAATAAAACTGTAGCATTTTTTGTGATATCATACATGTGAAATAAAAATGGTGTGCAAGTAAAAAATTTTTTTGCAAACAATGATCAATCCAAAAAATTACTGCATTATTTGCATATAATTAAGTAATTATTTTTTCATAGGGCCAGGTTTGTCTTTATCTTTTTTTTTTTTTAGCTCCATCTAAAAATATGCTAATCATTACTAAGTGATTATGGCTGGTGTTCAATTTTACTTTTGAAGTCATGATCTCAGAGCTAAGTATTAAACTGAAAGAAGTAGATTATAAAGAGCTGCTCTTGGGTGTATTTTAGAGTTAGCAAACCTGTTTTGGCTTTTTCAAATATCAAAATAATTACGGGCTTGTTAAACCTACCACTGGTAGATTCTAGATTTTAGTTTTTTTTTAAAAACAAACAAAAACATCAAAAAAATTTTATCATCCAAATCAAAATCTAAAATCAGGGTAAAATAATCAAATGAGAACAACCTTTGCATAAATAACTACACAAATTCTATTTGCTTAAAAAAGCCAATTTCCAATAATCACTTTCTCGTTATGAGCCTTAGAAGTGTTGAAGTATGCCAGATAAAGTCCAAACGTACACCCTGAGGAACTCTATAACATCCCTAGAGCTTTTACACCTTTTTGTCTTTTCCTTTTCTTTTTCCCGACTGCCCAAATGAGAGTATGAGACTGCTTCCTCATAGTGTACAATCAATGACCACTAATAGAATACGATCACACTATCCCATTTGTGTTGTTATACAAATTTGTATAAGAATTTCACAATGTACGTATCCCCACAAGAGGAAAAGTCATGGGTTTCAGTCTAGGATAGCAACAAGTCTAGTTCAGTTCAAACACTGATCTATTCGAGGTTGAGTTCAAATTGTATCATTCAAATTTCAGTTCTAAATCCAGCTCCAATTTGACGGATCTTGGATTTCGAAACTCAAGTTCGACTTGCGTAAAATATAGGGAACTTGAATTCGAGTGACAAGATATGTAATTTCTTCTAAAATGTAGATTTTTAGGTATTTTAATATATATATATATATATATATATATATATATAAAGCTTAGTGAGATTTGGAACAGAACACCTAAAAACTAGTTTGAGTCTGATTCAATAACCATATTTGCATAGTTGTAAGTCAACTCTAGCTCGATCAAACTTGTGCTTGAGTTGGAACTTTAATCGACTCGCAAGCAGCTTATTTCGTTCACTTCACAAAAGTACAGTGGTCCTCAAAATAAATGCAAGGTAGGCTTTTTCGCAGCCCGTATGTTTTCATGATAGAGAACCATAACACAAAAGGAGCCACATAACCTTCTTGATCGAGTTACAATGTTGACTGTTGAGTGATCCGTTTAAGTCACCTATGGCTCCACAAAATTAATGGAACCAACGAGCCCATCACCACCATTATCATTATCAAGAAAGTACAAACTCTTTTTTCACCTAGGAAACAATACTAGAAACTTAATCAGGTCTACTAGCTAATAACAAAAGAAAAACAGCTAAATTTCTGGGATAACCAACTAAGCACATTCTTAGTTTGAGCACTTCTACTACACATGTTGATTATCCTTCGATTTTCTTTCAAACCAAGCAATTGTTCTTCTTGGCAATTATAGCCTCCTTAAATTAACCTAGTCTAATGAAGATTGTTACTTAGAAAATTGGTGAACCAGACGTGAAAGTAACCAAATTGTCGAGGATATTATTCCAATATTTTCTGTTGTCTTCAAGATCACCACCACAGCTGCTATTGTCAAGATTGTAACAGGGTCCAATAGGGCTGGTGGAGTTATTGCCATCATCCGATAGAATGCTGGCAAAGCCTTCCATGAAACTCTGATGCCTTAAGGAGTTTTCTGCAATGTATCCAGCATCATCAGGGTTAGGGTATTCAATATTGTCATTATCGTCAAGCTGTATTGCGTTATCCATCACCTCCATGTCCATTCTTTCCCCAACCTCCACCTGGTGATCGTGTTGATTTAGTTTCCCTAGAGGATTCCAGCTATTTGGGACAGTTTGTTTTGTCATTGTCCCAGAACCTACCTGTTGCTTCGAGTTTTGGACATACTCCATGACTGGAATAGCTACATTTGCACCAAAACCAGCATTGGTACGAGGAACAGGGAACATGTTGTCCGAGAAGTTTAAGGTAGAGTTTGGAGATTGAAGGTTTCCGTTAGAGGTGAAAAAACCATTAGTACTAGTAACGTTCTTTGTTGTCGTCCATGTTGCTTGCCATACTTTTAGTATATCAAGGCATGGTGGTTGGAACGAGGGTTTAGTTGGATAAGGAATGGAGGACAAGAGTTTTGATTCGCGAACAAGTCTAGCTTCGGCTTCAAGACGAGCACTTTCCCATTGAGCCATGTGACTAAGGTTCGCGGCATCCTTTTGTTGGCTGCAGCCAAAGGCGTTGGTTTTTGGCTTATGAGTTGCAGGATCGATGCCCATCTTGGTTAGTCTCTTCTTCAGATGTGTGTTCCAGTAGTTCTTTATCTCGTTGTCTGTTCGCTTCGGCAGATGAGCTGCTATGGCTGACCATCTATATCACCATTTAAAAAAATAGGTGTGTTTGGATGGACTATTATTTGAAAATTTTATTTGAAATGTAGTTTTTTTTATATGAGGTATATGAGATAAAAATATGATTATATGGTTGAAAATATATTTGTGATTCAAATAAAATTATGAAAAAGAATATGCTAAACAGATGAAGCCTTTTATATGTGCTCGTACTATGAAGATGAAAAATACAGAAAATATGTTTCATTTTTCGTGTGCAGGCCAATAATGCAAGAATAGTTGAACGCTTTTCTTTTCTTTTCTTTTTTCTTGGGGGGTAGGGGGGTGGGTGTAAGCAAGCATAGTTGATCATGCATGTTGCAGATTGATCTTCTTACCGGTTTCCAAGAAGTGCATGGAGTTGGATAATGGTCTGTTCTTCTTGCAAACTGAATTTTCCTCTCTTGATATCAGGCCTCAGATAATTTGTCCACCTAAGTCTACAGCTCTTGCCACATCTTTGAAGCCCTAATAACCAACCAAAGTACACAAGTTATTTTTGGCAGACGCTAGGATATAAAATAGTGCTCATGTTTTTTGTGTACGAGAGGGACCAAAACGTGCGCAAAGAAGCAAACGGTAAAAATTCCAGAAAAAAAAAAAAACAACGACAAACAAAGGTAGATGGAGGTCACCAGCTTTTGATGGGAGGGCTCGCCAACTTCCATGGCCATGTCGTTCGATGTAAGTCAAGAGCTTTTGGTCTTCCTCGGCTGTCCACGTTCCTTTCTTCAACCCAACTTTGTCGCAGCATGGTGATCTTCCCATTTTAAAGGGCTAGCCAGTCAAGAATATGATCCCTTGATACTAACTAAATCCTACTTTTATCCAGCGCTCCAAAAGATCAAACAGATATCCTGCAGAGAAATAGAGAGAAGGATATATAGAGGAGGATTCTTGACTATTGGCACCAAAATGACAATGTGTATATAATATATGTATATACGTGTATATATATATATATATATATAGGGAAATATAGTTCATTAATCCATGGGACCGAAATGTACCAAGAAGATTTATAATCCAAGGGTATATTTTGATTTTGGCTCAACTAACAAAATTCATGTTCATTCATTATTTCATTTCATTGTACTATCGCCGTTTGTCTATGTAGGTCAATTCTCTTTGCGCACGGTTGTGAATACAGTACATAAGTGACAAGGAGAAACTGTATTCTCTCATGGCTGCAGACTCCCAAAGTTCAAACTAGATATCTTCTTCCTCTTGTACAGGCACCTACTCGCTTTTTGAAAATTTTATACGCAAGAATTAAATTATTAGTTTTTTCTTATACTAACACTCTATGCATTAGTGGTTGCAAATAATTTTAATTTCAATATACATATCAAATTTTATATATGTGTTCTAGTTTATAAAATATCAAACGAATGAAGGATTGCATCAAATTGTATCCTTGATTACTTTAATACAGAATTCGCATGGTAAACATACGTGTTGGTCTTTAGTATTTTAGCACTTCCAATCTACCATCCATTTGCTCATCTCGCTCCTTATTCCACATTCTAATTAGTCAGCCACCTGTCCATTCACTACAATTGATAAAATCACAGAATAATTCAGCTACACTTAATCGGATGCGAAGCGGTAGTTATGCTTATGTTTGAGATGGCTTATGGAGTTATTTTTTGCATTGATGACTTTTATTTGTGATCTAATGTAGAGGAAAGAAAACTTTGAATCAGTCAAAGAGTTATGCAGCAAGGAGAACCTAAATCAAAATCCATTCCAGAACATGTTTATTGACAATTCTGCACTGTCCCTTTTACTTGAATCAAAGCCCTCCAATAGGAATTTTGTCCTTTTTACCTATGTTTTCAGAACCGGACCGGATAGCGACTCGGCTAAGGTCAGGGGTCAGGGGTCAATGGGTTCGACCGGGAGTCGATAGGGGTCGAACAGGATGACGTCATAAATAAAAATTATTTAAAAATTAAAATATTATATTTATAGTATCTAATAATATATTGATATTAATAAAGGTATATTCATATATATTTGATGTTTCAAATATATTTAACAAGAAAATATAAAGAAATTAGAACAATTAAATAGCAATTTATATTATTTAATAAATATTAACAAGTTTAGAATTAAAATTATGAGTTTAATTGAAAAATAACATCAAATTTTAGGACAATATTTATAAAGTATCAAATATTTGAGGTATATCGATAAGTTTTAACAATTTAGGGGGTCAAAACATAATATTATAAAGTTTGAATTTTTTTTTTTAAAAAATTACTGTTGAACCGGAAAAACCGGTTTTTTTCCGGTCAAACCCGGTTTTTGACCGGCTTTTTGACCGGGTTTTAAATTTTCGGTTTTTTAATAAGACTCGGACCGGCTACCTGGCCGGTTCCCGGTTCGACCGGCCGGTCAGGTCCGAGTTTCAAAACAGAGCTTTTTACAACCCTGATCTTGTTGTTATCTTAATTAGAGGTGTCAAAATGAGTGATTTTGAGCAGGTTTAGGTAAATTAAAATGAGTAATAGGTATAAATGAATCAATCCATTTATAATGCACAATAAGTTTAATTACCATTTTTATCCCATCTGCGCGCTATGTTACAAAATTACATACTATTTAATAATTGAATAATAAAAATATAAAACTTTGGACTAAATAATACGAAAGTTAACATAAAAACTTAATTCAAAAACTTCTAACCCCTAGCATTTTTTTTTGTGCAGAAATTTACAGTTTCATTTTGGAAAGGTAGGAAAGGAAGTTAGAGTTTGCCCTAAATTGGTAATGCTGAAAAATGAGCAAATTAAGAGAAAATAAAATAATAAGATAAAACCAGCAAATAATAATAATAATAATTGAAACAAAAGTAGTTAGCATCATGACAAAATAATGAAGAAACGGAGGGAAAAAAATTTAAGTAGGACATCATGACAAAATGACTATAGTCTCTTTTATTAAGAGAATAACTGAGCCCAGAAAAAGAAAAGCACCAATTAATTCTTGTCTCTTCCACCAAAAGAATGATGATAATTTTCAGCAGCGCCTTTTGACAGATCCATGTATTTTTGCTGTGCAATAGAGAAAGGATTTGGAACCATGAAAAAAAGAGATTAAACAATGATTGGCCAACTTATGAACTTGAAATTGGATATCAAGAAAATACAGATGAAAACACGATATAAAAAAAAAAAATCTCCTAGTGTATAGTTATTCTTTATCTTTAAGTTAAAAATTGGCTAACATATTCTCCTATCTTTCCATTAGGTTATCCGCTTTCTGATGCTACGTTTGGTCAAAGGTGATGAAGAAATTAGGATATTGTTGCTGAAGACAACTATAAATGAATGTGATTGTGAAAATAATTTTAAATGAGTTAATTGGATTTGATGGATTATATAATTATATCTATTTATTAAATAATCCATTTATACCTATATATAAAAATTTAAGATACCCCTACCTAATTACTTATGAATGGGTATCAGTAAATTATTAGCCTTGGATGTAACGCTCTAGAGCTTTCAGTCCGTTTGGCATAACTTTCGGCTTTGTGGATACAAGTATCTATTTTTTTTTTTTTTCCTTCTCAAATCAGCAGGATTGTGGATACAAATATTGCCAAAGAAAGAAGCTAAATTAATCTTAACTGAAATCAATACTGATTAATCACAACGGCTACAAACACCACTTCCACTTACTGTACATTAAATGTTTTCTTGAACTTTTATTTTGCAGATTCAATTCTTTTTTTTCTTTGATTGTATTGCCACTTTATAAATGTTTGTTTGTAGCATTAAACATAAAAAAAAAAAAAAAAACTAGTTAATGTTCTAGGAGATTACAGATTCGGCAGATAAATGAAACAATTATGAAGCAGCTTATCATGTATACGTTTTTTTTTTTGTTGCACTTTCAATTATAGAGAGAGCAAGCAGTAATGGTTTTTAATGGCAACTAAGTGCCATAAGAAGTAGGAATTTTAGAAAATCATAAGCCTGTCAGATAGCTGCATAAATAAAACTAATGAGGAAAAGGAGTTTCACATTGATATATATCCAAGTGTAGGAAGTCGGAACTAAAAGAAGAATGTATTTTGGCATGCATTAACATTCTTTAAAAACAAAAAAAAAAAAAAAAAAGTTACATCCCTTTGATAAAATTCAGATCAAACTTCTTTCTTAACCTAATAACTTCGAGTTATCCTAAATCATTAGTCGTAAGAACAATGTATATATGTCCTCAAGAGAATTCGAAGAAGTACTTCATTTAAGGTTTTTTTTTTTTTTTTGGTCAAAAGGAAGTACTTAAGATTCTTGATCATCTTTCAAATGCTGCTGCATGCGGAGGCTTAAAGCATGAGCCTTCTAGTTGTTAATCGAAGTTACAGATGCGAAATCGAAAAAAGGTGAAAAACTGAGGGGCCGTCACAAAATAAAAAAAGAAGGGAACAGGTAGGTAACACGGGCTTACCATCAATATTGTTGCTAGTCACGTATTTAAAAGTGCACCTGTCCGTAATTGCCACAAAATTTAAAGGCGAGTACGAGTCATTTAATTATGTGAATTAAACTACACCTAGACATTTGTCTGGCTCAGCAATGAGTTTTAAGATGGATGGATTTATTGCCTCCACCAGCAACAACAAAGGCATTATAAATACACGATTCAATGAAAAATTTATCAAATAAACAAGTAAGATAGGTAGCAATAATTTTACCCTCCATCGTATTAATGAGAAAACGCGTAGGACTGAGCCAATTGTTTAGCATACAATACAACAAGGGGGGAACAAAACGCTTTCTCTATTTAATTAATATACCATTAATGATTCCTGAGTAGAAAATGAATGCAGCAACTCGGTCGGTACAATTGTGCCCAGTCCAGCTGCAACAGCTGCGATGCATAGTAAAATTGAAAGCTGCATTAAAATTTTCTTTAAAAGCGATCGCTGTAACATATTACAATCCTATGTATCTGCGTTTTGAAGACATTACTAAAAACATATTACTCCCTCCGTCCCATTTTGACAGTCCTGTTTTCCTTTTTTGTCTGTCCCAAATTGCAGTCCACTTTCCAATTGAAGAATGTAGTTGTATTTTCATTTTCCTAAAATACCCTTATTCAATACAAGTTGTTGTTGCTATAAACCTACCCCATTTAATGAGAGTTGATTCTTTTTTTACTATCAATTCAAGTTCCCATAAAGTTGTACTCTATTTAATGTGAGGGTATTTTAGAAAAATAGCAATCTAAATTTACTTTTCCAACAAAGTTAACTACTTTTTCTTAAACTGTGTGAAAAAAGAAACAGGACTATCAAAGTGGGACGGAGGGAGTATTAGTATGCTTTATTACGTGCTCAAGGGCAGTTACGTTTACTTGGAAATGCAGGCCTTTGCATGCATTGACAAATCACAAAAGGGTTGCAAGCTGCAGCTTAAAATAGTACCGTGTGTAAGAATGGATGTTGCTGTACTAATTAGTACGTACATATGGAAAACGTCGATGCATCCGCATATTTCAAGGCATTGGAGACTTGTTTTCAAGTCTTAGAATCCGACAGTCGAGGATGAGAAGAATGTGAGGAGGGGCGTACAAGAAAATTTATTTATTATTTTTTTGTAAACCTTGATTTCAAAATCAATTGCTTTTTGAAGCCAAGCCGATTATAGGCCCTGTTGGAAGATATATGCTAAAATAAGAGGAGAAGCCAACCGCAATTGGAACACATGCTAATTAAGATCAAGTATTCTGCACGTGTACTTTTAGCATGAGGTGTCACCGTATTGAGCACCAAGACAACGTCGTAATTAATTTCCTTAAACGGAACCCGCAAGAGCCTGCATTTCCACGTGCAGAATCAAGGACGAACACAATGTTCATAAAAGGTATGCGACAGTCCCTGTCCACCAAGAATTGCTGTCAAATGCTAATTGGCTAAAACTCTGTCCAGCATGAAGTAGATATGAAATGTTTGGACCAGTTACAGCTGACAGCCAGTAGCACTGGATGGATTGGAGGTAAACTTAATTTCGTAGTTGCGTCCCAGGGGTGATGTTCTTGTCCCTGTGGCAACTACTTCCACAAGAATGGAATGAATGAGGCAGCTGAGTTGGTTTCTGACCTTTGCTCATGAAAACCGCTTAAAAAAAATGAAGGTGATCAAAAGTTCAAAACTGCAGCATCCATGCACTAAGATCAGAAGACAAAATAGTGGCTGATGCTTTGGAATGTGCATCTATGAAGACTACTAAGTTAATTTGTTGACAAGAAGTCGTCAGAATGAGGAAAGCCCTGCGATCTGGCGGAGTTTCTCATATGAAACCCAGAACACAAATTGCCAAGGACCAAGCCTTGCCCATGTGGGAAAGAATCCCTTCCACAGTGCGCCAAATCCTTCAATTTTAACAGTTCTGACGAGACAATCAAATGAATTCTGATATTTTGCCTTCCCATCGACACCAGCTGCCTCATACATCATTCTTGTTTTAACTACATCTGCAGGACAACTCAATGCTGTTGCTGAAAGACCAGACATAATGGAAGATAAAGTGTGCGCATAAATATTATCTTCAGCAATCTGGTTTTGTATAACAAAATGTTTTGCGTGATCATAACAAGCTAATTCTCCCATGTTCACCAAGAAGGCTCTCTGCACATTTGGGAAGACGCCTTTCCAAAGTCCTCCAAATCCTTCCTGAGAAATAATCTTGCATAAAGCATCAAATGGCCCCAGGTACCTGGGCCTGAGACCTTGATTCACCATTCGTGTATCTGCTTGCATCCTCACTTTAATGAGGTCAGCCGGGCTGGCCACTATCTAAGTATTAATGAGTAAACATCTAATCAAAAAACCTTCTAAACCAGCAATAATAACAGGAGAGACTTGGCAAGGAAGACAAACTATTTTGGGTTTGATAGAAAGAACTTCAGAAAACTTATCCCATCACAAGAAGTCCCTTGGCATAAACTTGTGTGGGAAAAGGGGTTCATTCCAAGATTCTCATTCATTCTTTGATTGTTATGCAAGAACAGACTATATACCAAGGATAAAATGAGGAAGTGGGGATGCTTAAGTGGTAAGTTTGAATGTGTTGTGTGGTGGTGTGGAGGAATTGATGAGCCATATCATTTTTGAATGTCTTGTTTCCTCTTTTAGCTGTAGTGTGGCAGAAAATTCTAAAAATGGTTTCAGTTTTCAGGGGACCCCTGCCATGGTCAATGGAATTGTCCTGGGTTTGTGAGCATTGGATGTCTACATCTTTTATTGATAAATTTCGTAGGCTTGCTCTAGCTGCCTCTGTGTACTTCGTCTGGAAACCTATAAATCTGGTGCTATTCCAAAGTGGAAATGTATCTGTTGTGGCTATGGTAGGTCAGAAAATTGAAACCATACAGTATATTGGAGCCTCATGGAGAAATGTGCCAAAGACAGCAGAATTGGTTGCTGATTGTTGAATGGTGCATTTCCCATAAGTGCTTTGATAGATTTTGATGAATTGCATAGAATTCTGGGTCGCGAATATTTGTAAAGATTCATTGATGTATAGATACCCTATGCTACGTTTTATATTTTCCGGTTCTGTATCAATAAAATTTTGTAGTTGTACTTTGGAAAAAAAAAAAAGAAAAAGAAAAAACTCTATGCCTCATTACATGGTGCATTTTGAAGCGGTCGCCACTTGCCAAAACAAGAAATAACTCCAACAAAGAACAAAGCATTCCCCCTAGTTAATGAAATCATAGTCTTGCTACGTGCATTACAAGCATACTACTTATAATCCTTCATTCTAGTGATACTGGAACAATTTTTGTTAAAGATGACAAAATTAAGCAGCATTACTAGCACATGTAACCCAAATTTTCAACTAATCATACATGCACGTTCAGAATGAAAAAAAAAAAAAAAAGCAGCATTAAAGGCTCATTCAACCCAAAAATGCCCAATCCGATCATACAAGAAGTTCAGAATAATGGAAACAATAAGCAATAGAAGCTTATCCAATCCAAAACTTTCGTTCAAGTTATACAAGCATGGCACAAACAACGGCCAAACAGCATTACAAGATTACTCAATCCAAAATTCTCTTTCCAGTCATATGGGCACATCCAAAGCAATGAAATCAAGCAGCATTGCTAGCTTATTAATCCAAATTCTTCAGTCATATGGGCACATTTGGAATAATTGCAAAAAAAAAAAAAAAACCCAGCTTCTAGCTTACATAATCCACATTTTTCACAGATACAGGCACATAGGAAAATAATTTTAACAAAAAGAGGAAAAATAAAAGTAGCGACTTTACAAGCTTAATCACCCATTTCTTCATTCTAGTCATGCAGCCATATTGGAAAACAATGAAATTAGCAGCATCGAAACCTCAACTAATCCAAGTATTCATTCTAAGTCTCTAATTGACATGCTTAATGTTTTATCAAAATAAATTAGAAGAAAAAAAAAAGAGTAAATACCTGAGCTATTGCTCCAGAAATGCCACCAAGAATTGGTTTTGTCGATAGAGAAAGTGGATGGTCCGAAGGGCGAATTTGGGCCCTTAAATGCTCATAACCCACAATCCGGATAGGAGTATAAAATAGATGTCTTAAAATTGCCGGGGACAAGCCATTGTAGAGCCCGAAAAGGCCGTCGTTGCGGAGGATTTGGTAGGCGATTTTGAAGGTGTTTGTGGTGGCCCTGGTGGGTTTAGGGGTTAACGAGAGGGCTGACTGACGCTCGCCGTGGAGCTGGAGCCGGGTTTTAATCAGGTCGATCGGAAATGTCGAGGTTTCAGCCACCATTGCTGAGAGTGACGTCAGCAGAATCTTCTTTGAGTTGGAGTTGCTGGTGGTGGTTTCGCCGTCGCCTCGGGACTTCATTGAGTCAGCTCCAGCGTTGCCGTTGGGAGATTCGGAAGTGAGTGAAGGAAGCGTGCGGAAAAGTGTAACGACTTTCCAAAATTTTATAGGGTAAAATACATAAAATCCCCCTGTGGTTAAGGAAATTGACATGAAACTTCCTTATTGTTTAGAAACACCCACTTAACCCCCCTGTGCTTTGGACTTCTTTGAATTTTACCTGCTAACCGGCTGGGAAGCCGGTAATAACATGAAATACCAAAAATACCCTCATATATAATATGTGAAAAGTTACAGATGCAGTAGAGGACTTCTGAAAATCGCGTAGAAAGAAACCCTAAACCTACAACCAAGAAGAAGCACCATTATGCATAGCGGTGTGAGTTACGGTGAAGATCAGTCGGGCTTGAGCTACATTTCATAAAATGAGAGATAAACCCTAAACCTACAGCCAAGAAGAAGGTGTTTGTGTTGCAGATCTGCGGGATATATAGTGAACATCGATCGGCGTTATAGTGTAGATCGGTCGCCGTTGCTGTGCAGATTGGTCGTAGTCGCAACGCATTGGACTTATCTATTAACCAGGTAAAATACATATCCGAACCTTAAGCAGTAGACGAGTTGATTTGTTTGATGGCATGTGATTTGGTAGTAAAATGTTGGGGATATTTTGAAACTTGGTAAAAGAACCGCCATTGTTAGTTTTGGCTTAGTCAGAAGTTTGTCCGACAATGTTTGTGCGAAATTTTTTTTTAATTCTGTAAATATGCAAATTTTCAGTTTTGGCTTGGTCAGAAGCTTTTCCGACAATCTTCGGACAATGTTTGTGGAAAAATTTGGTTTAAAATTGGTAAATACGCAAAAAGTCTGGGTATGGCTTAGACAGAAGCTTTTCTGACAATCTTTGGGGGAAATTTTTTTAAAAATTGCAATATACTGCAAAAAGTATGGATCTTTTTGGAGTAATCAGGTCTACTGTGGTCCATACTGGTATTGATTATGATTTTTATCCTTCTAGATAGGTGTGTTAATGTTGATTATTTACTTTTTTTGAGTAATTAGGACTGCTGTGGTCCATACTGGTATTGATTATGATTTTTATTCTTATAGATAAGTGTGTTAATGTTGATTATTTATTTTTTGGAGTAATCAGAACTACTGTGGTCCATACTGGTATTGATTATGATTTTTATCCTTCTAAATAAGTGTGTTAATGTTGATTTTTTGGGTTAGGTGCATAAGAATGGGAGATAATCCGTGGCAGACCATAAACATACATATGCATTATGGTGGATATTTCAAATGGAAATCGAGAATTAGATACACTTGCGAACACGTGAGGGTATTTTGTGGACGGGACCCTGATGAATTATCTGTATTTGCGTTTGAAAAAATGTACCAAACAATTGAGCACGGCGTAGCAAATGTGAATTTCTGGTACTCTATTCCCTTTCATGACCTTGATGTTGGTGTAGTTCCCATCAAGGATGATGTCGACATCGAATTATTGACAACATGTTATGAGGGGCTTCCAGAAATGCACATATATGCTGAGAGGGGGCCTGATCCAATTGAAATTGTGTCCCCAGAAGGAAAATTACTGTACAAGAGAGTGACTGGTGATGGCCTACTTGCACTTCCGTATCATGATGGCTGGCAGGCTGAGATTGGTTCGTCCTCAACTGTTAAAGGCAGGGATGACATTGACCCTTTAGTAATTGGGAGGGAGGACAATAATGACAATGCACACATTAGAGATAGAGCAAAGGAGATCTGTGAAGAAGAGGCACCACAAATACAGTCAGATCCAATTTCAGTGGGACCCCAACACGTGAACAAGTCCAAGAGAACGAAGACAACAAATGATAAAAAAGCTAAGTTGCAAAGAGTAAAGTTAAGTGCAAGGAAGTCAGTCAGGCGATTATTTGAAGACAAAGAAGAAGGTGATACATCATCAGAGCTCCGGCAGTCTCCTACAAGGAAGGCAGCAGAAGAAACAACACAGGCAAAAAGAGATCCAATAGAAGAGCAGACTGATTGTAGCGGAGAACCAACCACACAGGCAGAGAGAGAAGGTGGAGAAGAAAGCGAAGTCATACCAGATTATTCAGATCTTCCTGACTGGCTAAGAGAAACAGTAGAACTGCCTGAAGATGATGACATATTTGCAGGTTTACATGGTCAAGAATCAACACAGGCATCTATAAATGTTGGATCTGCAAATTCGGTTGGTATTGGGTCTGAGCAGCAACAAGAACGTAATCAAGGAAAAGCTACAAAGCAAGCTGATTTAGATGGACATCAACAGCAACAAGAAAATCAGCAACCAAAAGCTACAAAACAACCTGATTTGGGACAACATCAACAGCAAACCCAATCCAAGTACCAACATGAAGTGGGAAGTCAGCCAACATCAAGGAGGGATGATAGATGTCATGCGACTGAGCAGGAAGAGGACTGGAACGAGGCAGTAGAGGATGATGAAAATCTGTTTGACAGAGGAATAGGATCTGATGACGAAAGCATCCCTGTCTACAGTTACTTCAATACGGATGAGGAATTTAGGAAAGAGCATTTTGAACTAAAGGTTGGTCATAAATTTACTAGTTTCTATAAATTTAGAGAGGCTTTGGTGGAATGGGAAATTAGGGAGGGATATGAGCACAACTACATCAGAAATGAAGGCTCTCGAATCACAGCTAAATGCGCAAAGGGGTGTAGTTGGAGAATTCATGCAAGCACAATCCAGAAAACAAAGACATTTATGATCAAGACTCTTAAGGGAGAGCATCATTGTGGCAGAGATTATAGCAATCGACATGCCACTTCAACATATCTGAGTAATAAATTTCAAGCCAAAGTGAGGGATGATCCTGGGTGCAGTATTCCTGGCATAGTGAATGAGACAAGAAGACTGTTTATGGTAGACATTAGTCAGAAAAAAACTGGCAGAACAAAGCAAAAAGCATTAGAGGCACTTAGGGGCAATGACATGGAGCAATACCACAGACTTTGGGATTATGTAGCTACTGTTAAAAATTCAAATCCTGATAGTCATATTTCATTGCTAATTGATAGGCGAAATATTGAGGAAAGGGCTACATTTCAGAGGATATATTATGGTTTAGGTGCTTTGAAAAATGGTTTCCTAGAAGGATGTAGGTCTATCATAGGACTAGATGGCTGCTTTCTCAAGAGTCCCTTTGGAGGTCAACTCCTTACAGCCTTGGGTAGGGATGCCAATGACAATATGTTCCCTATTTCCTTTGCTGTTGTTGAGGTAGAGAATTACGACAGTTGGAGTTGGTTTTTACGGGAATTAATCAGTCAAATTGGAAGAGGAAACAAAGGAGTGGCTTACACTTTCATCTCGGATAGACAAAAGGGTCTTGTCCATGCAATTGAAGAATTGTTTCCTGAATCAGAGCATAGATTCTGTTTGAAACATATGTTCGAGAACTTCAAACAAAGATTCAAGAATCAAGACCTTCGAGACTTTTTTTGGGAAGTTGCTGCAGCAGCAAACATGCCGGAGCATGAAACTGCCCTAGCAAATCTGGAAAGGGCTGACCCACAAGAAGGTGACAAGTTAACAGCTGCGGGGTGGTTCAAACGGTTGCCACCAAGACTATGGTCCAGAGCTCACTTTAGCACAGCTTGTAGGAGTGACACTTGCGTTAACAACATGAGTGAGTCATGGAATAATTACATTCTAAAAGCTAGAGGGGAGCCAATAATAACAATGCTGGAGTGGATTCGGAGGAGATTAATGCAAAGGATGGTAACCAAGCGAGAGGGCATGCTGAAACATGGTGGCACTTTGTGTCCAAACATTTATGAGAAGTTAGAGAAACTTAAGATAAAGACAAGAAATTGTGTTGCGGTTTATGGAGGAAATGGGAATTTGGAAGTTGATGGCTATGGAAGGACAAATGTTGTCAATTTAAAGATGAAAACATGCACCTGTGGTCATTTTCAGCTTAGTGGCATTCCTTGCGTGCATGCGGTTGCCTGCATTCAGAGCAGAAAGTTGAAATTCGAGGAATATGTTGATGTTTGTTACCAAAGGGAAGCATATTTAAGAGCCTACAATTTCACAATTGGTCCTGTTCCTTCGAGACAGTTTTGGGTAGATAGCAAAATGCAATATTTGAACCCACCATTGGTGAAGAAACAACCTGGTAGGCCAAAAAAACAGAGGAAGAAGGGTCCAGAAGAACCTACAAATCAGCAGAAAGCAAGTAGAAAAGGTCTTGCAGTTTACTGTCGGAGGTGTTTGAAATCTGGACATAACATAAGAACTTGCAAATCAGCGATTCACCTTGGGTCTAAACTTTACAAGGTAATGTAACATTTAATAGTCAAAAGTGTGCGAAAGTGTGTTTTGTTGCTACTTATACACTTATTCATTTCAATTTGAACTGTAGGCACCTAAAGTTGGTCCAACAGGTTCAAATGCAACATCTGTAGCTTCTGCAACTCAGGCTAGGGTCTCAAGTACTACTAGTACTACACTTTCACAGGTACTAGAAAGTAATTGTCAATCTTTGGCTGCTGCAATATACTTACATACATATTAACCATGCGAACTTATATACAGGAGCCTAATCGACATGCCGGTGGTACCAACCAAGAGAGCCAGCAAAGTAGATCCTTAAAGAGAAAGCAACCACCTGCAAGGATGTCAAAGCTGCAACATTGTGGCTCCAAAAGACCAACAAAATGAACTGCAGTTGAAGAGGAAGTAATTGGTTGAATGTACTAGTTATGCTAAAACATTTGTTGGTTGAATGTACTGATACCATCATGGTATACATGTATGAATATCTTTCATTGTACTCAGATTTTTGGCTATCTTTTGGTTGGCAGATACAGTCGTGGGTATTGTACTCAGATTTTTTGGCTATAACATTGGTTGACTGTGGCCATTGTGGTATTGTACTTAGATTTTTGGCTATGTTTTGGTTGACTGTGGCATTTGTGACTGTGTTGCTGGTGTAGCTTTTGGCCACATTATGCTAGGATACCATTGTGGTATGGTTATCGTAATATGCCACGTTTTTTTTTTTGTTTATTTATAGCAATCCAGATTACTATCCACATATTTGCTGATTTATCATGTCTTGTGACTATATTGCTGGTGAATCTTTTGGGCACGTTATGGTAGGATACCATTGTGGTATGGTTGTTGTAATGGGTCACGTTACTGCAACATCTTTACTGGAGATGACTAAATCTGACAAGTGTTTATGGATGGCAATATTACTAGTTATATGTTTGCACTTAACAGAGTGTCTTTGTTAGATCAGAGTGTATTTGTTAGAATCAGAATGTAGCTTTTTACATTAATGTACTTGCGTCTTTGAGATGTCTTTGAGGATGGCAACATCTTAAGAGGACTAATATTATTTCTAAGTGTTTATGGATAACAATATTACTTGAGACACTCTAATGACTTGATCTAACAACTTCATTGCATTTAAATCTCAGGGCCTTTACCTTAGGTCATGAATAAAAGTAGTTTTTTTCAATGTCCTCAACAAAAGCAGCTTCATTCGCTCAATTATAATTGAAACATGAAAATCAACTCCAGATTGAAACCAGGATGTGATTTTTGCACTACAATTTGTCCCAACTCCAGATTCTATTACACTACTTTTACATTACAATTTTTGCCCAAAATTCATCTCAAACATATAACAACCAGTGACAAAAGAGACGCAAGTACAGTCAGCATCATCATCATCTTCATCAACCCCATCGTTGCTTCGACATTGTGAATCTTCGATTGTAATTCCATAATGATGTTATAGTTATTACTTTCCATTCCTTGCCCACGCATGATAAATCTTTCTGCTGTAGCAGGTCCAATTGGTGAAACCCTTTCCACGTATGGACTTTGGCAAGATGATTCATTAGTGCCTCCCTCTCTACTAATTGGGTTGCACCATGCCCAAAATGAACAAGCACCAGTTTCACATACATAATACAACATACCTTTTGATGGTTTTTCAGATTCTACGACCTTAATCTTTGCTTTATTGTTGCAAAAACATCGCCGGGTTTGGTACCTTAGGTCCCTCGATCCACCGCCAAAATTTTGGGAGCTTGACATTTTTGGGTTCTCCCTTGAAATGATAGCTGATTTAGCCCCTCCAAAGCTCTTTTTCTCCCATCCAAAGCTGCTAAGCTCTTACGCTTTTGGGTCTTCGTTTTGCATTTCTCTAACAAATGGTTTCATTTGCAGAACTACAACTATGGTGGGTTTCATTTGTAAGAGACATGGAGGGCAAAATTGGAATGAAACGAGTTTCTTCTAGTCACAAGTTACCATTAGCCCGCGTTAATATCACTCGCTAGCTTCCCAGCCGGTTAGCAGGTAAAATCCAAAGAAGTCCAAAGCACAGGGGGGTTAAGTGGGTGTTTCTAAACAATAAGGAAGTTTCATGTCAATTTCCTTAACCACAGGGGGGTTTTATGTATTTTACCCAATTTTATATACCTTTCTACATACAAAGCATGACGAGGCGGCTTGGTATTAAAATCTGGTGTCATTTTTTAAATTTACTGGTGATTGCGCGCATATATATATATATATATATATATATATATATATATATATATATATATATATATGAAAGTTACTATTTTAATTAGACTCTTGACACAGCTAATTGGAGAAAATCATCGAGTTATGAGTTATATGAGTTTTACCTATTACTAAAATAAGCAATGTTGAAGCATTACCTTCTATTATCAAAATTAACTTTTGAAAAAAAAAACTAATCTTGTTTTAACCATGCTCTTATCAAATCATATCATATATATATACTTATGTATCAAAATAACTATATATTTTTTCCCTGTACTCTCAAGCTCCTATATATCCTCAAAGCTTATCTTCCAAATTTAAAGATTAAATTTTGAAAATCAATCCTAATCCTAATCCTTCAAGTTTACACATCAAAATTTGAGAACACAATTTACAAACCAAAATGTACTAGAAGCTGCGACTAGGAGGGGAGAGGAGATCTGGGTTGGATTGGGTTGGGGGGAGGAGGGAGGAGGAAGAAGGGAAGGGAAATGAAAGAAGAAGAAGGAAGAAAGAAGGGAGAGAGAGAGAGAGAGAGAGAGAGAGAGAGGAGAAGAAAGGGCGTGGTGGCAATGGGTGGTAATGGTGGATCATACTTTTTTTTTTAAAAAAAATTACTCCAACAATATTAAAAATTCGATAAACACCCTAATAAATAACTACAATAGCATTTTTTTTTTGGTGTACACTGTTACATAAAATTAGTCCATACAAAACCAATGCACGCACTTATGAAAAATAAGTCTAAAAAGATCTAATCCATACGAAACCAATACACACACTATTGGGCTTGATAGTGTGCTAATGGCACTTTTTGATAATTATTTTTTATTTGATAGACATATTTATTGTGTTACTTATATGCAAGTCGAATTGTTAAACTTAATCGTGCCTTATCTATGTGAGTAATATTTTATTATTATAAATGTCTATTGCGTCCCATATTCCAAAAAAATATAAAATATTCATTTACAATACTTAAACTCGACCGAGCTTAATTGAACTTGTTTAAACTTGATTGAGTGAGACTCGTTCGATTTGAGTTCGAGTAAGCTAAAATAACTATTGAATTGAGTTTGAGTACAAAGCTAAAGAATTCAGGATCCGTTTGTTTCGGGTGAAAATGTTTTCCGGGAAAATATTTTCCTAATTTTCCGTGTTTGGTTGCACAAAAGTTACTGAAAACATTTTCCTATGTAAAATATTTTCACTCATCTTATGGAGAATAACTTCCCTTCCAAACTTACTGAAGTTGTTTTCCGAAATGCATGCATCCCGCCTGTAGTATGTTACAAACTTACTGAAAACATCTTGTAGTATGTTCTTTTTTTTTTTTTTAGTGTAAACAGGAGGACTCGAACCCAAAACATCTTCCTTACACTCCCTCCCCCGTACCACCCAACCCAACCCTTCCCCTAATATATTCAAAATAAAAAAAAAACCTCATCCTGCTCATCCTATGCTAGTAATTAATTATGTATAATAGATACATTCTTTTCTAAAGAAACTTTCAGCAGTGAGAGTGCAAGATATATGTCACAATAAGCATTGCATGTGATTGATATTTGACACTAAATGGTCAGCAATTTGTTTATTGCTTAAGGAGATATTTTTTATTCATATATACATTTCTCCAAGATTTTTTAAAGTTAAACAATGAGATAAATTTTCTTATTTTGCATGGGAAGAAGTATGTAGTTATAATGTGTAGAAAGTAAAGATAGAGATAAAAGTGAAAATATTTCAAAAGTTAAACAAACACCAGAAAAATGAAGTAAGAAAATATTTTCAATAAACTAACCAAACACCTGAAAATGATGAAAGGAAAATGATTTTCATGGAAAATTACTTCCACGGAAAATATTTTCCCCCAGAAAAACATTTTACTTCCAACCAAACAGACCCTCAGTGAGTTCGAACTCACATATTTTAGCTCGAACCATACTAGTCAAGTTCGATTTGATTCATTTATATCTCTAACTAGAATTAGGCATTTCCATAGAGTGAGTTTAATCCAAACGATAATAAACCATATATTTTTTTGTACGGATCTTTTAAATTCAAAAGAGTTTTTTTTTTTTTTTTGAAGGGAAATTCAAAAGAGTTAGTTCTTGCTCGTATCAGAGAATCATAAGTTTGGATAATATTTAGTACCATATTATATAATCAAGGCCAATTTCAGCCCCAAGTTACATGACACCTGTCCCTCAGCCAAGAGAAATAAAAAAAAAGAAAAAAAAATGCATTTTCCCCACAGGAAGTTAATTTCAATGGAAACGACACCGCACCCGTCTTCCATGGGATTCGTTTCCCATTCTGCTAAAAATAGACAGTCAACTCAGTATAAAACAACCTCAACTTAACCGTTTTGAAAAAAAAAAAATTGGAAGTGGCGGCAAAATTCTGTCACTGATCCTCTAAATTTGTCTGGCTGACTTAGCAATTCTATCTATATGTGTAAATTCAAATCTACGAATCATTAATTTATGCAGCACAATACTTCAAATTAGGGTTTGTGTGGTTCTAATCAGTAAAGCACATTTCTTCATATTTTCGTCAAATGGCGGTGGATGCGTCGTCGGCAGCATGCAATCTAGCGGTTTTAGATTCACTGAACGAGGACTCAATCCATGAAATGGTGGAGAGCTGGAACCGCTTTTGCTTAGCTTCCGAGGGTCTTCTTATTGGTGCCGGCAACTTGTCTTTTGGCTCGGAGTTTGTTTCTCAAGCTCAGATACTTGTCAAGTACGGCCTCGAGTCTCTAGTCCAGCAGCATTTCCTTCGTTCTGTTGAGGTACTTTATTTGTTTTCAATTAGAGGTGAATTGATTGCTTTCGCATTTTCCACCAAAATTAGAAAAATCTGTATTGTATTTTTCAAATGTTGCAAAAAAATAGGTAATTTATTTTCAAATAAGCACTTCTGAAGGTTGAGGCTTTGTTTATTGTTACGGTGCAGGAAATTTTTGAGAAAAATGGGGCGACGAGGTTTTGGAGTCATTTTGAGCCTTACAGCAATGTTGCAGCTCTTGAAATTAATGATGATCCTGTGAGTATGCATGAATGTCTGAGCATTGTTTGATTCGGAGCATGTTGGGTATGAAAAGATATTCCTTTGCTTGAAAATCTAGTGTTCCTTATATAGGTGAGTTTTTCTTGTGTTCTTATGTGAAGAGTTGTGGTTTGTGGTGAACTAGTGCGTAATGATGTTCCTGTGTTAGCATTGTAATTTGTTATTCCAAGATTCAAGAAGCTGTACTACTTTCTTCTTGTATGGTGAAACATATGATGTGTTGGCAGATTGATGCACAGTTTGTTCTATTTTGTACCTAATCAGCTTGAAACTAAACAAGATAATTCCTAAATCAGATACAAAGGGATGAGATTCAGGAAGTGTTATGTAAAGCCCTGGAAGAAATTTCGTCACAAAAACAATACCAGGAGAAGTGCTTATGGATGTTGATTCACGCTTTACATTCTGAGTCAGCAACTAAGTCCGAGTGTCAAATTAAATCAGATGCCCAGAATGTCCCTCTTATCATGAAGTATCAACTGATGGTGTCTTCTGTTCTAATGACAAGTCTACCCAGGCACTTTCCTGGTATGTATTCCTCACTTGATTATTAACTTGTTCACTTGACTCAGACATGTCTCTTTACATGCATGTGTATTGTGCACACAAATCAAGACAAAGTCAGAGAGAGAGAGAGAGGGAGGGAGGGAGAGGAGAGAGCTTTCTTTCAAATGTAAAAGTTGAAGTTCCTATTATGAACTTATAGAGTTAATGTCTTGATTAGATTGCACCGATCCAGTAGATAAACAATTATTCTCATGTGCATAATCCTTGAGAAAAAATGATGAAGCGAGGAAAGCGTCAAAATCATCAATTTCCATCTTAAGTTTCTGGACATACCTGTGCTCCATCTTTAGCTCAGTCTATTTGGTTAACGTGTAAATTGTGGACTTCTTTTCTGCTCTCTCTCTCTCTCTCTCGTGTGTTTGGGTGGTGGCTGTGGATATATGTGTGTCAAGCTCCTAAACATTTCATGAAACCTTGGTGTGTCTGAACATGTTATAAAATCTCTATTTGCTAAGGTCTCTTTTTGTTTTATGCCATTAGAGATACTGCACTGGTACTTCAAGGGAAGATTGGAGGAGTTGAGTACAATTATGGAGGAAGATGATGAGAATGAAAATGAACATAAAGTTCAAGACGACATGGACGTTGATGAGAAAAGGCAACTTGTTTCTCGTAGTGGTGATATGGATGTTGATGGATGCCATCACCAGAGAGGGTTCTCAGAGAAGAACAAGTTAGTAAAGAATATTGGGATGGTAGTTCGCAATCTTAGGAGTCTTGGCTTGACATCTATGGTTGAAGATGCATATGCTTCAGCAATATATTTCCTTTTGAAGGTGACTAGTTGTTACACGGAATATTTCCGCATTGAATACTTTTTGCACTATTATTCCATAATCCATGTCTAACCTTTTAGAATTCTGGTTTTGATGGAAAGTTAGAGGTTCCCCTTCATTCTGTGTGTTTCTATTTCTTTTTTGGACAGGCTAAAGTACAAGATCTTTCTGGTGATGATTATCGGACTTCAGTTTTGGAGTCCATTAAAGGGTGGATACAGGTAACTGCATAAGCTTGTGAACAAGTTCTTATAGTTCATGAGGATTTCTTTAATGGAAAATGTGGCATTTTTAACATATCAAAACCACCTTTTCTTGATTATTTGTGATTTTTCCCATTATCTTGATAAACCAAGATTCTGCCTTTATATTGATTGACTTTCAAACTTGGACACGACTAAAAATATTATGTAACTCTTGAGGCATTAGCAATGAAGACTGATGTGTTTAATTGATACGAGTCAAAACACTGATTTTAGCATGCACAGTTCCAGAATTTTGCCACTTTAGATATAAACGGGAAACGGCCCGTGTTGAACTTGACACCTCTAAGGCTCAAACAAAGTGGTAATATTGTGCAGGCTGTCCCCCTCCAGTTCTTGCATGCACTTCTTGCATACCTTGGTGATTCCACTGATTATGCCAGCCATTCCTCTGGTCTGAAATCACCATTAGCATCACGGCATTCTTCATGCTACTTTGGAAGTGAAGAACCTTCTGAGGGACTTGTTAGATGGCAGTTGCGGCTAGAGTATTTTGCTTATGAAACCTTGCAAGATCTAAGGATAGCCAAGCTGTTTGATATCATTGTGGATTATCCAGACAGGTGACTTTCTTCCCATACCTTTTATATGTTGAGATTTTTAAAAGACAGTCTTGTGAACCACACCTCTTCTGTTTTCTTGCCAATATAAGCCTGGTATGAACCTATTTTTACATTTTCAGGCATCGGTTTGATCTCATCAAACTTATTGCTTCATAGCTTGGATTTGAAAGTTTATCAACTCGGAGTATGAATGGATGTCCTGTTTGTTTCATGTCAGACCTGCCACTCTTTAAATTTTGAAAAGCATTGTTGATGTTTTAGTTGACATTTGAAATTTGATGGAAAAGGCACTGAATTGGCACTGACATCCAGTTCATAACATTAGTAAATTAATTGGATTTTCACCTTCTGGTTCATTTCAAGCTCAAGATTGCTACCGCTTAATTGATCTTGATCAGGTGAGATATTTCTGGCAGAGTGGCCCTTGTTAATTGATCAATATTGTACTTGGGGTTGATCTTTGATAGCAGGTTCAGCAGTTGGGCTCTGTAGTCTCAGCCTTATAGGCATCAACAGAATCTCTGCCTTTTAGGCTTCGAATTGTGTTGAATTGATACAATCTGAAAATGTGGCAAGCATCTTATGCAATAGTAAAAGATACTTGAGTTCTACCTTTGAGATTCGTATCATTTACATGCTTTAGTTATTTTGGTGATTGAAGATGAATTTGTATCAGAAATGTGCACCACTGTTTGTTATAAGACAATAATAGCAAATAAATACATTAACTGTATTCTTTTTAGCTTGCAATGGTTTTCTATTCCACTTTTAATGGTGTACTTGCACTTGCTATTTTTAGCAGTAGAAGCTATCAGAACATAGGAGAGAGGAAGGTTTAAGGATTTAACTAGGAAGTGTAATGGCCTTGGACAAAACTTATCTTTGATTAGTTTATTTGACTTTTATATGGATGAGCTCATGGACTGACTTATGGATACTGTATTGTACAATTTTACAGTGCTCCTGCTATTGAAGACCTCAAGCAGTGTCTCAACTATACTGGGCAACATACAAAGCTAGTTGATTCATTTATTTCTTCACTACGATATCGGTTATTAACAGCTGGTGCCTCCACAAATGATATCTTACACCAATATGTTTCAACTATTAAAGCCCTTCGAACAATAGATCCAGCAGGTGTTTTTCTTGAGGCAGTTAGCGAGCCAATACGGGAATACCTCAAGGGTAGAAAGGACACCATCAAATGTATTGTTACAATGCTCACTGATGGGACTGGTGGAAGTAACAGTGCTTCCGGGAGCAATGGGGATAGCCTGCTTGAAGAACTAAATAGAGATGAAGAAAGCCATGAGAATACATGTACTGATGATGATATCAACATTGATGACAAGCAAGCTTGGATCAATGCTCAGTGGTATATTGCTTTGTTGTGCAGCATGTTTAACAAATTTGTTTATTATTTTTATTATTAAGCTTGTGTTGCATAAAACATCTAAAATTTTCTTCCTTAATGTTTTACCTGCTAAGTTGGGAACCTGATCCAATAGAGGCTGATCCATTAAAGGGAAGCAGAAATAGAAGGAAGGTTGACATACTTGGAATGATTGTTAGCATTATTGGTTCAAAGGATCAGCTGGTAAATGAGTATCGTGTTATGCTGGCAGAAAAGCTTCTCAACAAACATGATTATGAAATTGACTCGGAGATTCGCACTTTGGAACTCTTGAAGGTGTATGATTGAAAATTTGGCACTGTTTAGTTTACATGACTCCTCTGATTGTACCTTCTTGTTAGGCTCATTCTAGTAATGCATTAGTTTCAGGTGTAAATATTCATGTTTCACTTTGTGTGATCAGATTCATTTTGGTGAGAGTAGCATGCAACGGTGTGAAATCATGCTCAATGACCTGATTGATTCCAAAAGGACCAACACGAATATAAAAGCAACTATTAAACAGCAACCTCAAGCAGGTTAAAATTTTTATGGCTTTTGTTTGTTCGTGTAGCTTTGTGGGTATAATTCAACCCTCAATAAGACATCTTTGATATTGAACATTAAATATATCTAAGAGTTCCTCCAGTTACAAGTTGAACTGTCATGACAATTACAGAGCAAGAGGAGCATGAAGAATCTTTGGATGTTCTCAGTGCTACAATCATATCGTCAAATTTCTGGCCACCTATCCAGGTTATGTAACAACTTCATCATTGATATTTCATCTCAATCATCTGCATATAGCTTCTGTCAAATTTTTGCCAATTGTGATTATGGAACTTCCAAGTCTTTCTTCCTTGAATAAAGAATATCACGATTTTCTAGATGCAACCTTCAAGACTAATTCCTGGGAATAAAAGAGTTGTGATTTTTCCCTTTGTCACTCCATGCAAGAGTTGTAATGGTTTGACCATTTTATCTGAATGAAAAGACTACAGCTTCTCAAAGTTCATTCTATTCGATTTTATGCATAGATAGTAATTTGATGTTATATCAATTAACGGCTTATTGGAGATCTAGTTTCTACAAAATTATGTAACACTCTTCAGATGTTGTCACTTATGAAAGGAAGTGTTATCTACTACTTATTTTTACCACCAGTAGGTTAACAAGAAAGTTTTAAGGAGAGTCAAGTCCCATTTGCTATGTTAGATTGAAAATTAGAAGCTGAAAATGAAGACGATACAATGAATCATATGTGTCTGAATAGTAATCTTTTGTGCTATGACCCCAATGGCCATCAGTTTTCTGCATTTGTGGTCCTTTGCTTCATCATGATAATTCTTTCCGGCTCTACGAATTATGACTCTTAAAGATTTTGCAGGATGAAACAGTCAATTTACCTGCACCAGTGGACCAGCTTTTAAGTGATTATGCTAGGTGGTTTAATCAAATTAAGACTCCTCGTAAACTACTCTGGAAGAAAAACCTTGGTACTGTAAAGGTTTGTCGATCCTAGACTAAATGACACTATCATAGTAGTATATAGATGTTTCTTTATATATTTCATTCTCTGCTGTCCTCATCCATTCACTATTTTGTCATTGCCACATTTTTTTTAGTTGGAGTTGCAATTTGGAAACAGAGAAGTGCCATTCACTGTCACTCCTCTACAGGCTTCAATTATCATGCAATTTCAAGATCATACAAGGTTAACTGGGAAAAGTCTTAAACTTTCTTGAATTTCTGTCACTTATTTGTGATCTTGATTATGAATAAAAATTTTGAGATGATTAGCAGAACTGATCTTTTACTTTCAGTTGGAGCTCCAAGGATCTAGCTGCTGCTGTTGGGGTACCTGTTGATGTACTGAACAGGAGAATTAGTTTCTGGATCAGCAAGGTTAGGTTTGCTCAATCTTTTCTTAGTAAGAAGATATTAACCTTTGGTCAAAAATTTGGTCAAGGTGATCCTCTTGTACATGAGGAAAAGATTTTTTAACCTTGTTTGTGTTAGGCATGATAAAGTCTCTTTTTCTGTGTCTGTGTGTGTATTTGATGGAAGTCCTCTCACCTTGTAGAGATTGAAAACTGCCACTTTGTTGTGATCCTTCTTTACATGATCTGGCTCTTCAGTAATTCCTGCTACCTGTTACCCAACGTGTTAATTACACTGAGGAAGATTTTCTGTTTCTGATTAGAGGTAAAGAGGATAAAGGAAAAGAAACGGCAAGTATCTGATCAGTAACTCATGTATGCCAGAAGGAATTTTGAAACAAACCAAGGTTAATAAATATGGGCATTTGGAGAGCTTCTAAACAAGCAGGAGCGGTCCATTAGAATCTCTAGTGTAGCAATAATAGTGAGTGCAAAGCTGCATTTTTGTAGTCTGAAATTATGCAATTAAAACTGAATTTCAGTAATATTGAAACTTTAGCTCTCTCTCTCTCTCTCTCTCTCTGCCTCTACACCTACTGTTTACAAGCACCTTAGTGCATCTAAATAATCTTATAGGTAAATATATCGCTCTTCTGGGGTGAGTCTTCCATATAAGCATTTGCATTTTAACTGTCAAGGTTAAAAGTTGTGATAAGTTCCTCTATTTGGGTACAACTAGGGAGTTCTCACTGAATCAGGGGGCATGGATGCAAGTAGCCATGTCTTTACTCTGGTGGAGGCTGTTTCTGACAATAATAAAGCTGGTCCTAGCAATGGAAGCTTTGAGGAACTTATGGTGGGTGATGATGATGGGGAAAGATCAGTGGCCTCAGTCGAGGATCAGCTGCGAAAAGAAATGACTGTATACGAGGTGTATAACTAGCTATTCTTTTTCTTTTTTTGGGTGGTTTGTATATTTTCTATTTGCAGATTTGTCGCAACTTAGAGCAACACTTTTTCAGATTGCATTTTAATCTTTTTCTTTCTGATTCTTCCAATCTAAATTTGTATTTCAATCATGAAAGTCAATATTGTGCAGCAACTGTTTTGTTTATGAGGAAATATTTGTGTCCACTGCACTTACCCAAAAACTATATTTCCAACTTGTCATCTCTTCCAGTAGCTTTTATGATAAAAAGATCTGCAGTATCCTGCACCAATGGAGTGATGCTTATCTTGTTTCAGATGGTAATATATATAGTATTCTCTAGTCACGTACATTCATATTAACCTTGCTGAATTTGATTGTAGAAATTTATCACGGGTATGCTTACCAATTTTGGCAGCATGGCACTGGACCGGATTCATAATACTCTCAAGGTAATCATGTTCTTTGCCATCTAACAAGGTTTGTGATACAGATATAAGTAGTAAATTGCCTTGCTCATCAAATTACTTTTTCAGATGTTCTGCATAGCTGATCCTCCGTATGACAAATCGCTCCAGCAGCTACAGAGCTTCTTATATGGTCTGGTTGCAGAAGAGAAGTTAGAATTTAGAGATGGAATGTATCTCCTAAAAAAATGATAAATTCGTAGGCTCAGTTGCGCCCATTATCAGAACCCAGAGTTGCACCCCATTCATCAGAACCCAGTGCCAGTGGGTACTGAACTGAACTTCAGCATTCCTTCTGTTGATGGTGCAGCAGAGTAGATAAGAAGAGATGGTCGTACTCGAGCTTTCAAAGGTGGGAGCCATCTAACCGATTTGGGGTCCTTAAAACTCAGTGCAGAGACATATTACAATTGAATGAGAGAATGGAGGGATTCTTCTCGGATTAAGCATATAAGTTTTCGATGCGCAGATTGGGCTGTGTTGCATCAGCTATATTGCATTATTGGAAATGCCAAAATTTGAGCCTAACCTTCCTTACGGCTACCAAATGCAAGCGTGTTCAAATATCAGTGCCGTTGGCTGCAACCCTCGCTTCACTTTGTATCTGGAGTTATGATCGAGGATCAAGGCTGGGAAACTCCTCCAATCTCCTATCTCATTTTTTTCGATTCCCTAACATACTAAATGACACTGGATCCAGATTTATACGACAGAATTGTGATGTCTGTAACTTGTCCGAAATCGTTAAAGATTTGTGGGGCAGCTGATTGGTGCTGGTTCAATGGGCAGCAGTGATGAAAGCTTTATAATTGTGCATGAGCATTTCCTTCCGGGGGCAAGGAAAGCTTCCTCTGCTGCTATGAACGTAACATTTTCATTATCGTCCATATATGAAATTCCCTAAATACCTTCAATTTTCTGCACTTACTAAAAAGTTATGAATGGGCATAGTGTAATATGGTGTAACGATGCTAAAGAAATTAATCGGCGATTTGCCCTCATTTCAAGTGGAAGTGACTTCGGAATGTTGTTTTATTGGACTTAAATTGCTTTCCTTTACTAGTACTACAACAGTTCCCTGTTTTTAATATTAGCTTAACAAATCCAGATCCCACCGAAATAGCCGTTACAGTTTCAGTGGGAATCAAACTTGGAAAGGTCAAAGTGAAACATCGGGGCAGCATGACCGTTACAATTCCTTAAATTCAAATCCCAAGTTCTTCATCTCCTCATCTTCACTACACGACACCCGGAGAAAGAGATAGAATCAAGAGTGAAACAACCGAGGATCAAGATGATAGAGGTAGAATACGAATCACCAGAAATCGATGAAGAGGAAGCCAAGATGCAGCAATTGAGATCCAAAGCCACAGAGCTACTCCTAAGAGAAGAATGGAAGGAGTCCATACATGCCTACTCTAACCTCATTTCACTCTGCCAAAACCATCTGTTAAAACTTCATCAAGAAAAGCTGCAAAAATCCCTGTGTTTAGCCTACTCAAATCGAGCCGAAGCCCGGTTTCGCCTGAGAGAATACGCAGCAGCTCTAAACGATTGTGAGGAAGCTCTGAAAATTGAAAGTGCCCATTTCAAGACTCTTCTTTGCAAAGGCAAGATTCTGTTCAATCTCAATAGATATGGGGTTGCGTTGGATTGCTTCAGAGCAGCAAATCTTGATCCTCAGGCAAGTTCCAGTTCTGAAACTCTTAATGATTACTTAGATAGATGCAAGAAACTAGAGTTTTTTTCAAGAACTGGATCTTTTGATCTTTCTGATTGGATTCTCAATGGATTTCGCGGAAAAATGCCAGAACTGGCCGAGTACATTGGTGGCGTTGAGATCAAGAAGTCTGAGATTAGTGGGCGTGGCTTATTTGCTACAAAGAATATTGATAGTGGCACATTGCTGCTGGTGACCAAAGCAATTGCTACTGAGAGAGGCATTTTTTCCCCTGGAGATTCGGGTGAAAATGCACAAATGCTTATGTGGAAGAATTTCATTCATAAGGTGATTGAATCAGCTAGAAGATGCAGCATAACCAAAAACTTGATTCGCTTGCTATCTACAGGTGAAAATGAAAATGATAGTGTGGTTCCTGAGATAGATTTGTTTAGACCTGAAGCAGAGGACAGTTGCATTTCCAATCATGACCTTGATGTGGAGCAGTTGTCAAGCATATTGGATGTTAACTCCTTTGTGGAAGGTGCAATTTCTGGGAAAGTTTTGGGTGAAAATAGTCGTTATTATGGGGTTGGGCTCTGGTTATTAGCTTCCTTCATCAATCACTCATGTGAGCCCAATGTGAGGCGTTTGCACATTGGTGATCACCTATTAATTCATGCTTCTAGGGATATCAAGGCAGGTGAGGAGCTCACGTTTGCCTATTTTGATGTGTTCCAGCCATTAAGGAACCGAAAAGATATGGTGGAAATTTGGGGGTTTAGTTGTAGCTGCAGGAGGTGCAAATTCGAGGAAGGTTTGTGTCATAAAGAAGAAATGGGAGAGGTTGCAATGGTTCTTGGGAAAGGACTAGATATGGGAGCTTTTGTTTACAAATTGGAAGAAGGTATGAAGAGATGGTTGGTGAGGGGGAAAGGAAAGGGCTACCTGAGAGCATCATTTTGGGAAGCCTATGCAGAAGCTTTTGGATCAGAGAGATCAGTGAGGAGATGGGGAAGAAGGATTCCACCAATTGAGACTCTGGTGGATAGCGTTGTAGATGCAGTTGGAAGTGATGAAAGAGTAGTGAAATTATTGATGAAAGGATTGAAGAGAAGTGGTAAAGTTGGTGGTGGAGTGATGGAAATGGAGAGAGCAATGAAGTTAGGAAGAGGGATTTATGGGAAAGTTATGAAAAGACAAGCATTGAGGACTCTGCTTCAGCCTGGCACTCACGATTCATGAACAATGCTGAAGCCAAAAGTTTTTCTTTACAGCCTAAACTCATTCAACTCTCTCTTGAGCACTTCCTGTTATCTCTTGAGTGTAATTTTTCTTAAAACAATGAAACTGATGAAAACAAATGTTGAGATTGTCACTTTCATGAGCTTATTATCATCTAACCGCTTGTTTATTCGATCTGGTTCGGGGAGATCATATCTAGATAGCACTTGGTATGTGATTCTTCACTATTTCAAAATGGCCAATGGATTTGTTTTCTTTCTCTTTGCCCCATTTTCTGGGCTGAGGTGAGCAGGCGGCTGTCAAATGATAATCAAGAAACACGAGAGAGTCTAGAGCTCAGGTGATGATGGATATCAATCAAGCTTTGAGAACTTTAGATAGGAAAAGCAGAAAAAGGCCACTAACGGGACGATCTTGTTCCTCTGCTTTATAGTGGATTTAAGTCTGGTGCTGAACAAGATTTTGAGGTTGGCTACCATGTCAATTGGCAAAATCAGTGCTTTGCAATTAGATATCTTTAAAAAAATGCAGACAATTAATCACAATGATCATCAGGTCATAAAGTATGTTCAGTAATCCTGATGTACTTCCATATTTAATATTTCCATTTCCAGAATAGAACTAGTGTCTATCCATTGAGAAGGAAAAAAAAAACATAGAACTAGTGTCTATCCATTTAGAAATAAAAAAAACAGAAGTGTTATACTTGATGGGTTGAGCATGGATTAGAGCTTGCGATTTCTATCCAACAGGGAAAAGCATGCACAAACTTAGTGGTTTATGCATGCAATAAATCATTTTCTTTAACTTTTTTTAAAGCATGCACAAACTTAGTGGTTAATGCAAAAGATTACTAAGCACAATAATTATTCTACGAAAATGTACCTGGTCACTGAATGATTTTTTTTTCCCCCTTTTTGGTTGGTTTTAGGCTGTGGCGAGATTTGAGGATGAGGTTGGGCAAATTTGTAGTACATCCTTTAGGAAATTTGGTGTATAACTACTTCTAAAGAGCAAAACATGTTCATTCATATTAACTTTAAAAAAATTAATGTATTCTAAATATTTAATTATTTACTAATTTTTAAAAATTTGTTTGCACACTCTCACTATAATATGGTAGTATACATCAAATAATATACCCCATATTAAAATCTCAGTAGATGTTCTTTTTTATAAACATTATTTTAGATAATTTAAATTTTTATAATGGCCATAAATCTAAAACTATATATTCATATTTAATTAAGTAGAAAAGATCCAGCAATCCATTTTTCTTCATCAATAAACATTCAGTTTTCAACAATATTGATAAATCTGTCAATGTCACGATTAATTCTTCTTTTTACACTAATCAATTTGAATACTAACCAACGATATAGTGGTTAAAGGAAGTGATTTATGGAACATGTAAGATTTCAATAATTGTGATTTAAAAAATGTTTCACTATAGTTTTATATAATAATTAGATAGAAAGTAGAAATCATTAAGATAAGATTAGTTATTTTTTAAACTTATTTTAAAATTAGAGAGAATTTTTATGCATATAATGTAATTCGGATAGGATTAAATATCGGTCAAATCCAAGTGACCCATGATCCATTAATTTTCTTCAATTAGACATGTCATGTAGGAGTGAGAAACAACTCTAATTAAAATAGTTACTTTCATATATATATATATATATATATATATATATATATATATATATATATATATATATATATATATATATATATATATATTCCTAAAACCCACTAAACTTGCGGTCTTTTTGGCCGAATATTTTGAAGCACTCCTCGTTTTTGTCTCCCTTCATTTTTGCCTCATCTCAAGATGATTGTATTTTATACTTACAAAACTTGACCTTTTTCCCCCCGGCCATCAGAAATCTTTTCTAAAGAAAAATTCAAAGAGAAAGAATAAAAAACGTGACATTAATGTGGTACTTAATTAGATATTTAAGCCACTTGAAAGAAAAAGTCTCGTATTAGAATACTAGAATGACTAGCAGCCTTTTTGTTTTGGTTTGTTCTGATTCATTATCTTGTTCATAAGAGTGAACAAGTTAAATACTTGGGCCATAGGGGAAGAGTCAAATTCCTGAATTCAATTCAAACTCCATGCATTAATATGTGCTTCCTCCCAACTTACTTTTTAAAGTCCCATCTCTTCTCTGTTAGAAAAAAATTTGAAAAATAAAATATATGCTTCCTCGAAAGTTTCAGAGAAGTTGAAGATTTTTTTGACCTCATTTCAAAACCAAAAGCTAGCTCCACCAATGTTATCTATCTAACTGAGCTTTTCAAGTTTGCATGCGCAAATAAAATTCATGAAGATTTGCTGAGCATTATGGTTGGAATAGTAATATCAATCTACCAGTCTCTGTGTCTAAAGAAATGCCAAATGCGATTCCCGTTTGCTCAGAGCTTCCCTCCAGTTAGCAATTGCCCGGATGGTGAAGTTCTATGGATCCCTCCTTAGATTGAGTAAGACTCTCTTTGGTGTGCCCTGAGTGTAGTTTAGCTTGTTCCTTGTACTGCCTATTGTTAAAAAGCGATCCCCGTTTGCTCTTCTCTTGTTCAAGAGACGTATAGACTATGGAGAGAAGAGAGGCAGAGAGAGATGTATAGCCTATGGAAAATTTTTTTGACAAACAAATAAGCATAAAATAAAAGGCTTACATTTCTTTTTCTTATTTCCAAGATGAGGAGGCTTATTTTCCCATCGATCTATTTGTCAAAATTAGGTTAATAAATTAATTTTTCTCTCTTTTTTTTTTAGAAAAAAAAATAAGAAAATAATTCGTAATTATTCTCTATAAGAGATTCAAAATTTTGTACAATTCTTTAATGCTTGGAAGAAAGACGATTTAGGATGAAAAAAAAAAATTAGCTTATAGCTGAAAACATCGGCTCCGTTTGGATTAGCTGTTTTTGGGGTTATTTTTCAAAAATAGCACCGTAGCATTTTATTTTTGAAATACAAGTACGTTTGAATTAGTTATTTTCCAAAAA